TCAGGTGACAGAATGGAGAAAAAAACCTTGGGAGAAACCAGGCTCAGTCGGGGGCCAGTTCTCCTCTGGCCAACGAACGAACAGTGTCTGATTATGATTCAGGTAGCATTACAGGTCAGAGTCAATATTTATCCAGTTCCATCTGGTTGGAGGTTGGAGTCATCACTCCGGTTAGGAGACGAGTTTGTTGAGGTGTCCATGAGGCCTTCACAGGGCTGATGAGGCTGACACTTCAGGGATGCGTTGTGGTCGTGTCCAGGCGCAGGTTTACTGTCTGATCTGGATACGGCTCAGATCCGGCTGACTTCAGTAAACCTCGGAATAAATGGAAAGACTAACTTTAGCGTAGATACCATTCTTCTTATGATGTAACGAGTACATCGGGTGTTATAGGAAGTGTCCCGGTTCCGGTTGACCTAATCTATGCAGCCTAATAATCATTTAACTGATTTGAATAATAGAAATGTATAATGTTCTATGTGAATGCCAGGTAAAAGAGATGTGTTTTTAGTCTAGATTTAAACTGACAGAGTGTGTCTGCTTCCCGGACAATGTTAGGGAGACTGTTCCAGAGTTTGGGTGCTAAATAGGAAAATGATCTACCGCCAGCAGTTTATTTTGATATTCTAGGTATTATCAACTGGCCAGAATTTTGAGATCGCAATAGACATGAAGGACTATAATGTGTTAAGAGCTCGCTCAAGTACTGGGGAGCTAAACCATTTAGTGTTTTGTAAGTAGTCAGCAATATTTCAAAATTTATACGATGTTTAATAGGGAGTCAATGCAGTGTTGACAGAACTGGGCTAATATGGTCATATTTCCTGGTTCTAGTGAAATCTCGAGCTGCTACGTTTTGGACCAACTGGACTTTGTTTATTAAGCACGCAGGGCAACCACCCATAAAAGCATTACAATAGCCTTGAGGTCATGAACACATGAACTAACTGTTACGCATTTTTCATTGAAAGCATATGTCGTAATTTAGATATAGTTTTAAGATGGAAAAATGCGGTTTTACAGATGCTAGAAACGTGACTTTCAAATGAAAGATCAAAGAGCACACTCCGGTTCCTAACCAACGACGAAGACTTGACAGAGCAGCCATCAATTGTTAGACAATTTTCTAGGTTATTAAAGGTGCAATGTGTAAAAATTGAGTATCTATTAACAGAAATGCAATATGACATCCATAACTATGTTTTCAGTGGTGTATAAAGAACTTACTTAATAAACCGTAATGTTTTTATTACCTTAGAATGAGACATTTATATCTACATAACCGCGGGACCCCCTTCTATGAAGGTCGACATATTGTAACGTCATGTTTCTACCGTAGCCGACAGCGAACACACAGCGCTACAGAGCGCATTTCGTCACTACCTTGAAAGAGAAGCAGCAGAAACCTAGAAACTAACCATAAACACTGTGAGTAGTGACTTTTATTTGATTTAAAGCTCACACTTGAGTAAGCAAACTGTAAAAAAAATGTTTTTTATGTAATTTATGTAATAAATGGAACCTTATTGTAAAGTGTTACCGATTAGTTATACACCGATTAGACGTCCTGTGAGTTCAGTGTTAGAAAGATCAGTTGTTTTAACCATTCATTAAAACGAATCAGTTCAAATGAGTCATTAGTTTGCGAATTGGACGTGTCATTATCGGACATGTGCGCGTTGTGTGATTATCCCGGCGGTTGGGACATCCCACAAGATGTGTGTCATCACAGAAAACATTTCATCACTGGATAGTTTTTTCGTTTATTTAAAGTGTGGATTATGTCAGCTGAATGTGGGGAACGCTTTTCAGAGAAGATAAGGCAACGTATTTTAGCACAATTCACACACTGCGGTAATTCAGGAAAAACAAATCTCCGAATGCTCCACATGAAACTTTAGTCTCTCGACCCTACCATTGTGTCGTTTATTTTGATTAATATGTGCGAGGGAGAGAGAGCAAGACAGCGCTTAGTTTTGAGACGGTGAAGCTGCCTTGCTCCGAAGAGAGAGAGAGTGCGCGCGCGCGACCGGAGGTCTCTCTCTCTCTCTGATCGTTCAGTTAAACATGTGCCCTGCCACAAGCGCAGCAGTTCATCTACATTACTCACCGATCAAATAAGACTTTGGCTGTACAAAACTTTGCTTTGGACGCCGTGCGATGGTGCTTGATAAAGGACAAAAGGGACAGTTGTGAGTTCACGGTCTGTAGCCTACATACTATGGCTGACTCAGAGCAGGAGCATCGATAAGAGGACTCGTTAACGTCGAGGGCATACAATATCAATGGATCGTAAAACTTAGAACTGGTTCTTGAGTGGAACCGGTTTTCAATTCCCATCCCTACTCTTGGCTTACTCTAGCTGTTCTCTGCTGTCTCAGACGACGATATGTTTGTCCCGTTTTTGCCACCGTAGCTTCTTCGAAAGGGATGGGTGAGCAGTGGGCTGAGCCCTTAGTGCAAACTCGCAACCGAACCGCTAGATGACGCTAAAAAATACACATTGCACCTTTAAGTGAGGAAGTTTTTTAGGCCAATAATTAGAATCTCTGTTTTTTCAGAGTTAAGTAGTAGGAAATTACTAGTCATCCAAATTTTTATATCAGCTATGCATTTCGTTAATTTTTTGAATTGATGCGTTTTGTCGGGGTGTGAAGAAATATAGAGCTGAGTATAATCAACATAACAGTGAAAACTAATGCCATGCTTCCTAATGATATCTCCCAAGGGTAGCAAGTACAGAGCAAACAGCAATGGTCCTTGTACTGAGCCTTGTGGTACTCCATACTGAACTTGTGATCGATATGACATCTCTTCGTTTACTGCTACAAACTGATAACGGCCAGATAAGTATGATTTAAACCATGCTAGTGCAATTCCACTAATGGAAGGCAGGCTCTCCTCTAGGTGGGTGCGCCCACTTAAGCTCAGGCCGATCGCCACCTGTCAAAGCCTCCCGTCTACGTCATTGGTCAAAAAGTGTTTCTTTCTTCAAAGAATATTCCTCTCTGCTTGTTATAAACTTGCTCCCAAATTTATTGGCCCATTCACTGTCCACCTCAAACTTCCTTCTGCGTACAGGAGAATTATTTTAGTTTGTCATGTTTCCAAAATAAAATCTGTTTTTCATTCCCCTGTTAATCCGCCTCCGGTTCCCCGACCGCCACGTCTCGTAGATGGGGAACCCGCCTAGTCGGTCAAACGTATTCTGGATTCGAGACGGAGGGGATAATGGATTCCAGTATTTGGTGGACTGGCAGGGTTATGGTTCGGAGGAGAGAAGTTGAGTATCCCATATTGGATCACTCCCTTATCGATGATTACAATCAACAGGTAGGTTCCTCTGATAGCGCCAGGAGGCGTTCTTAGGGGGAGGGGTACGGTCACGGTTCGCAGGTCTGTGTGTTCATCTTGCTTTACTGGTTGTGTTTTCTGTCACCTGTTGGTGTCTCGCGTTGCTGGGCATTAGCTGATGAGCTAATCAGCTCAGCACACCTGAAACTCGTCAGTAAATGTGGTGTGTTTGCTCTTGTCTTTCGTCAGATCGTTTTGGTGCTCAGGCCTGCTGTTTCAGGAATTCCAAAAAAACAATGGGCCATGTTGTGTTATTTTCCTCTGCATCGGTTATACGTCCCTTTCCATCATATTATGTCATGCTTTCTTTGTTGATTCAGACTATTCATTGGATACATCATGTGGCTTCACATCCTGTATGAGGCTGTTATTGATGGTGACAGTATGGCTGTGCGCCAGGGTGATACACAGACATGATTAATAACTGTATGGGTAAAACATCTAGAAGCAGGCCAGTGAGCAGTACAACTGATGTCAAAGCTTGCAAACAATTGCTGATGCTTTATCTCTATCTCGAAGAAGAAGTGACTCCAACAAACCATGCATACTCAGTGTTATGTTCTACAAGACTTGAAGACAGTTCGATCTGTATTAATCCCTGGAAAAAGTTCATTAGCTTGATTATATATTTTTAATTATGTTTAATTAAATAACTATTTAAATGGAAGATTGAGTAAAAATGTCATAAATGCTAGACAGAATAAACATTTTGGTTACACTTTATATCGAATATATATTATATAACTAAGTCTCAGAGTATTAGTAGACTGTTAGATTAATGGGTGTTCAGGTTTGTAGAATAAGATGACATGTTTCAAAGTTACTTATAGTCAGTATAATGTCTGTTGAGGAGCATCAAAATAAAGTGTTAGCAGATATTAAAGAGGCTATATGCGTTTTTCTGAAATTTAAACTCGCGACTGACACCTGTGGCCAAAAAACAGAACTGCTCTTCCTTTCTGCTCGCTCTCGTACGTGCACAGTTCACAAGTCATCTGCTGCAAGGAGGTCAACATTATGTTTACAGAGGTAAGAACAGTCAAATACATATATTGTTTGAGTGCTGGCAAGCGTTGGTGGCAGAGTGATCTGAAACGTTTAACATGAACGCGCTTGACGTCACATCCGCCGACAGCGCGGGAAAAATCCGACCCGACAGAAAATAGGAAAAATAGGATACAGGCTTATAGGTGCACCCACTGTGAGCGGACAAGGTGTCAGTATGCTCAACAGGAGATGTTTGAGTCATAAATGGTAAAATAAAAAGGCTATTGTTACGTTTATTTTGGGGAAAAAGTTATTTATAGTCCCTTTAAGTAGACAAGCTACATACTCTAATAAGAGTTAGTTGACATGTAGGTGCAACGTTACTTAGTAGAATATCTAAAGTGGACCATCGTAATAGTGTTACCAAGATAACATGTTTTTACACTTGAGAAACAATGTTTTAAAAGTACATTTATTTAGTGACATATTTCAGTAATCTATATGATCTAATTAATATTTTTCAATGAATGGTCCAAGTCACTGTGCTGCTAAACAAACCATTTTTGAAGTGTAAATGAAGTGGCTCTGACTGCCAGATGCTCACACGCATGTATTAAGCAGTTGTGTGCTTTTGTAGGACACTGCTGCAAACCTCTGACCTTGCCAGTGATGCTTGTAATCGCAGGTGCGGGACAGCGCGATCATCATGGCACTGTAGAGGGGCAGGACCATGGCACAGAGACGCCAGCTGCGCCCGCGTCCAGCATCTGTGAAGCACTGCAACTTCCCCGCCAAGTAAAATGAGGTAAAGCCCAGGCCAGAGAAAGCAACTAAGACAAAAGGTGAGAGAAATAAAATATATGAGTAAAAGTAAATGCAAAGTTCTGTAAGAAACCATATACAGTAGGAAATGACTGAAGTGAACTTTTTAATATAAAAAACTGTCTGCTAGACAGTAGTGATATTAAATAGATAGCAAATGCCGTCTAATCCTAATATAGAAATAACCCCAGTAATCTGACATGTGTCTGCTCTAAAGTTTCAAATGAGCTCTCAACAATGTCTGAAAATGTGCTCAGATTTGCAAAATACCAAGCTCTGAAATCAGATGTCAGATATCTCAGTATGAAGTCAAATATGTCTCCTCAATTCTTTCCAAACCAAATTATCGGAGCTATGGCACATTTATTTTCTAACTCTTTGCTTTGTCAATGGTCTCATTTATTTCAAGCGAATTTTATGAGTGAAAACCGATTATAATCATTTTGTAGACATTGGGATATAAATACATTGTTGTAGAGCACATAACAGAGCTTGTGTTTCTCTGAATTCCATGGAAAAACAAATAAAAATAGCACTCTTACTACTGTCCTGCTCTCTGCAAACCTGTTGCCCTGACAACCTGAGGTAGCATTAAAGAATCAAGATAGATTTCTTGCTGTTGCATTTTTAAACTCTGTATTACATTAGCAATATCTTTTATTGAGATACTACAGCTTCTACTTACTATAAATGAGATTGAATAGAGAGTTGGTCTTCAGCACTGTTGCATTAAAAAGCATAAACTGATATGGTGTGAAAACAAATAATTAGGCATCCAAGCTGCTAATTCGAAATTTGCACATTGGATTCTGCAAAGTGATTATGCGCACTCGTAGGACACACAATGTCGGTTTTCCTAAACTGGGGTTCACATTTTCACTGACAGTGATTGCATTGACGGAGGTTGCCAAATCACTGTACTGTTTGATGGGTACTAGGTGTTCCTGCTTAACTAGAGACTGTCTGCCCTCTCTACCTTGGTTGCATTTCCCTTCATGTTGCCTCAAATTGTAAAACTCTCAATGACAATGAAAGACTAAAAATGTCAATGCTAAATCAAATTAAATAGTTTTAAAGAACAATGTTTAAAATGATGCAATAAATTACTCTGACCTCACAAAAAAGTGGGTCTCATTCATGAACTTGTGTGCGAAATCTGCCTACAAACTATTTTATTTCATACAAAAATGTATTTAGGAAAAAAAAAGAAAGGAACAACAAACTACACATACTGTATGCAAAAATCACATCTGGGTGCCTATCATCAAATTTTATTTCAGAAAGTAGAAAGAACACACGCCTCTTTGCGGAGTATGGTGAGGAGACAGGTAAATATAATTTCTCGAGCAATAGCGTACAGGAGATGGCTGGAGTTTCACAAGGAAACTTCACAGGTAAGTAGAGAGGGTAAGTAGTCCGTAATCCGTATTGGAGACTAGACAAAGAGTGACTGTGAGGTGTGTGCTTTTATACAGGTCCTATAGGTGATCAGTATTCGGGCGAGAGTGAACGTTGGATGTGTGAGACAGAGGAGCCTGGTGAGTCTACGACACGTGTTTTCTATTAGGCAGAAATTTTGTGAGAACTTCTCCTGTGCATACAAATACGATATAATCAGAGTTCAAGAAGCCCTAAAGAATTGCACAATAGTATTACTATGATATAAGTAAATATTAAAGACACCTTATTTTCTGTTCAAACTATTGGCCTCATTAGAGCACCTAATGGTGCAACAACTCTCCACTCAAACGGTGTAATCCTACTTCGGTTACGCACACTAATTTCCCATTTAATAGGAAATGCAACCATCCCACCACATGTAATGCATTACAATCAAAATTGTAACCATGAATAATTATTTACTTTGTAGCCTTGGGCAACTCATAATGTCCTTGCCAGTGATGCAGGCTTGATGATGTGAATTAGTAATTTGTGGCGGGATGGGGTCTCTTTGCATAAAGAAATAAAAACAAAAACAGAGTGTTTTCTATCTGTGTTATAAGTTTTATTACCATCTTTTATTACCATTTCTTAAGAATATTAAGAATTTAAATGGCACAACTTAAACCATATTGCCATAGAGAGTAATGACTACATAATATTCACTACATCTTAAAGACAATAAACAAATCAAATATGAAAAAGATGAAGTAGAAGCAAATTCAAACCTATCTGTGAGAACAGTCTTATAAAGTTTCACCTCACACAATTAGATTTGGGTTGTAATAAATCGAAGACAGGTATGTATGTATTTTGACTGGATATAACTTTTAGAGCAACTTTAGGTTTCCCTTATCGCAAGAAGTCTATGAATTTAAAATCTGTGCGATTATGTAACGAAAGCACTCTTTGTATTTCACATTAATTTATGCTATAGGGCTATGATGTAGATGTCAAAACAACTTTAATTTTGTAGCAGATTATGTATGTGTGTGTGTGTGTGTGTGTGTGTATATATATATATATATCAAAGCAAAAGTGGTGTCTGAACATAAAGACACGGTTATGTTCTGTTTTGGCTGAGTCTTGTGCTCCCCGTTCCTCTGTTAAGTTTCTGTCTTCTTTAGTTGACCTAGGCTACGTCCACATTTATCCGGATACATTTAAAAATGGCGTTTTCGTTTAAAAACGCTCTCTGTCCACACTAGCGTTTTCAGGCGTTTTCCGACGTTTCAGTGTGGATGAGAAACTTCTAAATTCACCTTAATGCGCATGCGTGAAACCTCACAAAAGCTCACCTAGATGATACAGATGGAAAAATAAATAATAAAGTTATCGCGCAATTCAACAGGATAATTTGTTTGGTCTAAAACGCGACCGTTCTCCTGTATTACAGCTGTGAGTACATTTTCTATCATCTTTGCAGGACTGTGATATGAAGAGTGTGCAAAGTAACATATTTCAGTGTAAAAGTGAATAGCACATAACAGGCACTATACCGGTAAACATGAATATCTATTGGTACAACATGGATCACATGACTAAACTTACGTCATCGTTTTCAAATACCTCCGGCTTCACAGTCCACACTACAACGCGAAAATGGCTTTTTCAAATTTATCCGCTTTGGAGAGCCTATTCCAAAAGCTACATTTTCATTGACTTAAAACGCCGTCTCAGTGTGGACGGAAGGCCAAACCGGAGAGAAAAATATACGTTTTCAAACGAAAACGTATTAGTGTGGACATAGCCCTAGTTTCCTAGTGTGTGCCTATAGTTACCATAGTAGCCAATTGTGTCCACCTGCCCATTGTTAACTTTGTCTCTTGTCGGTTCTTGTTGACACTACGTGTGTTTTTTTGTTCTTCTGTATATTTGTATGATCTCCTGAGTATTTTGGTTTATTATTAAAAGATTGTTTGAATTTTATATTCTCCTTCATTTGATCGAACCATGCCATTACAGAAGAAACGACCCTCATTATGAGCTCAATGGATGATTCAGCCCACTCCCCCGAGGAATTATTACTCAACATAACTCAAGCCGGCCACTCCCTGGAAGATTATGTTGAGGATTTCCTGGAGATCTCCCACCTGGTGTCCTGGAACGATGGCACGCTTAAGGTATACTTTTGGAGTGGGCTGAATAACCATCTAATCCGTCTGATGCCCAGGGGAGAAACATCTTGCATCCTGGCACAGTACGTCGACTACGCTCTATGGCTGAGTGGCTCACCCTTCATGGTTGGAGAAGTAAAAGACAATGTCATTCAGTCGCAGCCTTCCCAGTCCACTCCTGTCCTTCTGATCCCTCATTTGGGAGACCAGAGCCAAAACCCACCAAAAACCTTCTGCGGATGGAGAAGGTCACTTCGTAGCCAGAGCTGAAGCCATACTCGTCCAGGAGCCTGGGCTAGTTGCAATGTCTGACCAGGTGCAAGAGTAAGAGCAGGTGGAATTCAGACTGATCTCATGAAATGGCGTATGTATGACACGCCAATTCGTATTTCCATTTTTGGCGTGCTATCAACACGCATAATCGCTTTTCAGCGTGTTTATCAACGCCTTTGACTTAACGTTATATTACTGTATTATGTATATATAGATATATGACCTACCCCAACCCCGTCCCTAAACCTACCCGTCACTGGGGTTAATACCATTTATGAGTCTTCTCCTACCATCCTAGGAAAATAAATATCGCTCCACAGATGTAGATATAGATTTTGCTTCGTTTTGCTCGGACATTTAACGGCGTACACATACACGCGGAATCACTCGGACATTTAATGGCGTAGACATACACGCAAAAGATTTCGGCGTGGACATACACGCGGATAGCTCAAAATGCGTATAGATAACACGCCACTTGACTTGAAAGTGGCGTGTATGTTTACGCAAAGTCATGATGTCATGTTGTGGAATTAGACTGTGTGAAGTTGGGCCCCAACCATGCCTCAGCCCTGAGGTAAACTTGCTCCCAACAAGCTTAATTAATATAATGGACTCCCTGGTTCCATTCAACTCTTAAGTTCTGCCTCCTCTACTGATCCCGCCCAGCTCCAAGTCTACTGCGTCTCCAGTGATCCCACCCAGCTTTGCTTTCCCGCCTCCTCTACCAAAGACAGCCAGTCTTTTGGCGCTGGTGGCGCTGGCTCCCTTTAGTCCCTCAGCTTCCCCTCTGTTGACTCCACTCTGCTGCATGGATCTGCCTCGGGTCTTCTGGTCTCCTGCCTTGCCTAAGGAATCCCCTCGCTCCACCCCCAGCTGCCGGGGCTCCTCTGCCCGTCGACCAGTCGACTCCACCTTGGCTCCTCACTCACTCTACCCCAGCTGGGACCATCGTCATTACAGCTCCACCGGACTCCCTTGTCCCTCCGGCTCCGCCTTGGTCAGTCATCGCTCTGCAGCGCCACAGACTTCCGGGCCTTCAGCTGCACTTCGTCCCTCCACCCCTTGGGCTTCGTCGGGCTCCGCCTTCCTTCTGGCTTGATCCTCGGTCACACCGTCTCCCCCTCAGTCCTCTGGCACCCCACCTTCACCTCGGACCCTCATTGTTACGGCTCAGC